GTCTGTTTTTATTGCTGATTTAGCCTCTGTTTGTAGAGCTCGAACAATGACTGTTTAGTAGTTTCTTGCTGGGATTTTCCTCAGCATACCAAAAAAAAAAAAATTAATATGGTGTAGCAACAGCAAATAGAATCCATATTATGTTAACTTAATTTGTTAAGGAGTACATAGATATGAATCAATTCTGATTGGCATTAATTAAGGTTATTAACCTTTATTATTTTTACCGTTTTAGCATTAGATTGGTATAAATTAATCGTGATTGATACAATTGAATAACAATAATAATATGGTGTACCAACAAAAAATAGAATCCAAATTATGTTAACTTAATTAGTTAAAGGTTTTGTCCAAAAAAAATTAGTTAAAGGTTACATACATATCAATTAATTGTGATTGATATTAATTAGGATTATTAATTTTTATTGTCTTTACCATTTTAGCATTAGAATTGTATCAATCTAGGAACTCAAGGTGAGGGGAAAAATTATATTATCGAGATAGATTGGTTCAATCTAGGAACTGAAGGTTTATTCCCTTGCATCTTAAAGAATTTCAAGGTTCTTGTGTGCGAGGTCATTCTCGCTATTTTTGTACATACAAGAGGATAACTGGATTGGTATATTGGGAAGGGATGACGAAAATGATTAGAGAGTATGTAGTTGCTTGTGAGATTCGCCAACAAATTAAATAAAGGGATAGGTTATTTTATCTAAAAAAAATTTCTGCCTACCACTCTCTAACACCGTTAGATCAGAATCTTAACTAACATTTATCTTTCTCTATCTTCTTGAGATTCTGATCTAACGATGTTGAAGAATGGTAAATAAAGGTAGACAGAAAAAATAGTAAATAGAATAACTTTTCTCTTACATAAATCACAATCTTTTTGTCCTGCAGGGTTATAACCATATAGCATTTTTATTTGGCATGTATATATTTAATCGTTATCTATATATTAAGATTAAAAGTAAATGATTATTTCAATTCTTTAAGAAAATTGAAAAGATGAAATTTTTTAGGAAATCAAAATTAGAATATTTTTGGCCCATGTTTGAAGGATATTTAAAATTTTACTAATTCAGTCAAAAGAAAAAATTAAGTATAAAATTTTAAAAAATATTGAATTGTATTGATTTTTATTATAATATTAAATTATGATTTATTTAAAGTAAATTTAAAATTTAAACACACACGCAAGCACACGCGCATACACATATATACATTTAATATACTTTTAGAAATGGGGAAGAATCTGTTACAAACCATTTTAACAAATTACACTAAGTCTGATCGGTCATACACTTTTGATTAAAGTATGGCCGATTAGACATAGTGTACTTTGTAAAAGTTTGTAAATAAAAAATTTGTAAATATAACATTTCCCTTCATAAATTTATAAAACATTTAGTCATTTGTATTAAAGTATTTTTATTAGAATTTGTATTATTTTATTAAAAGTATAAGCTAGGCTTAGGGGCTCAGAGACAAAGCCTTTTAAAATAAAATTTGTGACTTAATTTATAAAGAGCTCTTTTAATTAATCATACTTGTACTATTTTGTTTTTGTTAAAAATATGAAGGTATTCTCATTCAATCTCTTTCGGTTACTTTATCCTTGTCATCGGAGTATGGCTTGTAAAACTATCTCTTCATTGGAACAATGGATGTATTGAACTATGTTACCAGAGGAAGGATGAGACTAATTATACTTATACTTTTTTTTAAACTAACCAGGTCAAGTCATGGCAACCAAGCTCAAAGACAAGGACAATTCTATGTATTTGAGAGATTTAAGGTGGAAAAGACCCCTATTTTTAATTATTCTAATAATAATGAGTGACAACTAGAGGTGTAAATGGATTAGGTCGGTCTACAGGGACCTACGACCTAGCTTATATTAGGCCAGACTTGACATATTACAAATAGTCAAACAGAACATGTCTAGACTTTTAAAAAAACCTATTTAAAAATGAGACCATAGGATTTTTTTGTACATATCGGACCTATAAGTTTACAGGTCGGCCTATATTATAATATTTATTTTAAATAAAATAATTATTTTAATAATTTCGAATAATAAAATAATATTATTTTAGTTATTTATTAAATAATTATTTTATTTAATAAGTTTGAACTGTCTAACAGGCCTGTCACTATTTTTATTTTTTAAATATAGATTAGGTCAGACTTATAATTTGGTCCTACACAAACTAACAGATCAGATCAAGCCTAAGCTTTTTAACACAAACTTGACTTATTTAAGCCAAGACTTAGTCTAATCTATTTTTGTTTTTTTGAAACACTTAGGTTAATCTATTTACACTCAATTACTAGAACATATTCTCTTTCGGGAAAGACTCTTACGTTTTTCTTTTTTTAACACAAAGGAAATATAAAGCAAAACTGCACGCCTCTAACCAGACGAGGCCAGGCTAATCCTCTAACATCACTATTCCATAAACTAAAACAATCCTCAGGAGGATAATCCAGCATGACAGTCTCCCATCCTTGAGAAGTGGCAAAGTTAGCAAGCCAGTCAGCTACCCTATTGCCTTCTCTGAATATGTGAACAAATTCCACCTGCCAATCAAGGTTCTTCAGGTTGATTACCTTATTTACCAGCCCCACTAGAGGATGAATGTCTGCAACTCCCTCTTTTATCATGCTGATGGCCATTTGTGAGTCTCCTTCAAGTATAATTTTCTTGTATCCAAGGTCCCAGGCTATTTGTAACCCCAGATAAAATCCCCAAGTTTTAGCTTTTACCGAAGAGCTATTTCCCAGATTCCTTGCAAAGCCTTTCAGCCATTCCCCAGCATTGTCTCTTAATACACCACCACACTCACTTTGCAAAATTTCTCTCTTGGATGAACCATCTGTATTTATTTTTATCCATCCCAAAGGGGGAGGGCACCACTGGACCAAAATCTCACTCCTCATATTGTTCTGCAAGCCAGCCTTCTTATAGAGAGCACAAGCTTCTACAAAGTTTGAAAGGTAAGAGCAAGCCAACCTTCCTGTTTCACCCTCCTTAGGAGCAACATTCTCAAAAATAAATCTGTTTCTTTCTTTCCATATAAACCAGCAAACAAGGCCAAACAGAATGTTTCCATTCACCCCTCCCATCATACAATGGTTCCCCCCAGATTAGTATTCAACCAGGATTGTAAAGGCAGAGAAAAAAATCATGCCATCTATCAGGTTTAATGAAGTTTAGCCAGACTTTTTTTGACCAGCTACAGTCCCTTATAGCATACAAGTAGCTTTCGGGAGCACTCAGGCATTTGGGGCAGATGCTAGATGTGGCCAAATGTCTCTAAACTCTCCTCTAATTGGTAAGGAGGTTTTCTCCAAGAAGCATCAAGAGAAAGGTTTTAACTCTTGTTGGTCCATTCCACTCCCAAATTCTACCCCATTGACTATGATGATGGTTGATATCTTCATTACTCAACAAGCTAAAAGCATATTTAACAGAGAATCTCCCATCCTGAGAGCAGTCCCAAATCACCCTGTCATCACCGTCACCCGGATTAGGAGGACAAACACCTTTAATGGGGTTTCAAGCTTCCTGAGAAATCACATTTTTAAACTCCTCCCATTTCCATTCCCCCTTGGAATCCACCATATGAGCAACATCAATATCCAGCAATTCTGGAGGAATTTCCAGAGTGGTATGGTCTATGAGAGGACTTAATAGACAACCATTTATCCTTCCAGAAAGCAGTTCCAATGTTGTTCCCCACCAGAATCCTAGAACCTTCATATACCATAGACCAGATCCTGGATGACCCCAACCATAGGTTTGACCCACCAGATTTCTTAGGAAGACTAGGAGTTAGGCTATCTCCAACTTTGTATTTATTCTTTAGCACTTTGACCCACAAATCATTCCTGTGAGTGAGCAAACCATGCCCAATTTTCATCAAGAAGGCTCTGTTGATCAACCTCAAATTTCTAATTCCCAACCCTCCAGCTTCCTTAGCTCTACAAACCACTTCCCAGGAGGTAGCATGTATCTTCCTGTTCTCCATACTTAATACACACACAAAGCCCCTCATCTTCTGTTCCACTGCATCACAAACTCCAACAGGAATTAAGGATGTTTGCATGGAGTAGCTAGGGAGGGCAGCCAGCACAGACTTTGTTAACACCACCCTTCCAGCCATGGAGAGGGACCTTTCTTTCCAAGCATTCAGTCTACTGTTTGTTTTATCAAGAATGAACTTGAATGTATTTTTGTTCATTCTTCTGTGCTGGATAAGGATTCCCAAATATTTTCCTAGATTAGCAGTGATACCACACTTTAGGATTTGGCTTAATTCCCCACGTCTAATATGATTCACATTTTTGGAGAAGAAGCATCTTATTTTATAACAGCTGACTATCTGTCCAGAAGCTTCACAAAATTGATTCAAAACACTAGATATCAACTCAGCTTGGTCCCTCCTAGCTTCAGAAAAAATCAGCAGGTCATCTGCTAAAAACAGATGGGGGATATTGGGGGACCCCTTTTTCCCAGCTTCACAGAAGCCCAGTCTTTCTGATCAACAGCTGCACTTATCATGTGACCAAATCTCTCAATACAGAGGACAAATGGATAAGGGGATAGGGGATCTCCCTGTCTAATACCTCTCAAAGGTTTAAATTCTCCTGTTTTTTTACCATTCCACAGGATATCCATTGTAGAAGAAGTGACACAAGCCATGATGAGTTTAACCATATTCTCTGCCAGGCCTGATAAGATCAAAGTTTCCTCCAAAAACACCCAACTCACCCTGTCATAAGCCTTTTCCAAGTCTACTTTCACAACCATCCAGCCTTTCTTACCTTTTTTTGACCTCATAGAGTGAAAGATCTCCTGGCTAATTATGATGTTGTCTGAAGAGTATCTTCCTTTCACAAAGCTACACTGGTTGGGCATAATTAGGGTGCCCATATGATTCCTCAGTCTATTAGTAATCACTTTAGTAATAAGTCTATAGACTACATTGCATAGGCTAACGGGTCTCAGATGGATTGGAAATTGGCACTTGTTTCCCAGAAGCCTTAACCTCAGTTCCAACCCCCTGATTTAAGTCCCCACTTTCCGTGTTGCTCTTCTTTTTCCTTCCTCCTTGGCTTTTTTTTTGCTGATTCAGATCCACCACATTCTTCCCATTATTTGATATGGTTCCCGAATCCCCAAGTTTCTGGCCAGGGGCATAATCATCTGTTTCTTCCTCTAAGGGGCCAAATCTGGACCCAGAGGCAGTGTTTTTGGTTCCATGCTCCTTACCTCCTGCATTCGGTCTCTCCTTGCTAACTAAATTCTCTTTGGATCTTAGCTGCTGAATTGGCCTTTTGTTGTTCCTTTTCTGGATTGTCATCCATTTCACGAAACCATTCACCTCTTGGCTTCTTTCTACTTCTTCTTTCCAAGTGTCCTCAGAGTGACTATGCCCAGAATTTTGGCCATTCATTTCTACATCTGCATCCTCCTCATCTTTCTTAGTATTATCTGGATTAAACAAGCAGTGCTCCTTCTTATGCCCATACTGTCCACACAAAAAACAGATCATATGAAGGCCCTCATAGCCTATATATAATTGCCTATGTCCAATTCTAAACTTGGAAAGAAGGCTCTTACTCAGATCTACTTCAACACAAAAGCGTGCAAACCTTCCCCTGTCAATAATCTCTTCTAACTGCCCTTGTCCACTGATTCTCAAGGAGTTTTCATCGATCCTCAGCGTTCTACCCACCATGTTCCTCATTCTCCACAGATCCTTGTATGTGTAGAATTCCCTGGGCACTTATGGGATTCTAATCCAAACAGCCAGCTTTTAACTTTCTTATCCAATGGATCAAAGTTAGGCCTCCACCTTTGCACTATGAGGTAATGGTCTGCAATGATCCAAGGTCCCTGTTGCTGCACGAAGAGGTAGTCCTGGCTCTTTTCAAATTCGACCATATAATGATCATTTTCCAGATCCAGAACTTTGTACTTCCCCTCCAGGTTCCAAAGCTTGTGCAATCTGCTCCTAGAAATCTAGCTCCTAATCTTTTCCCCATGAGCTTTACTATCAGCGCCATCCTCCACCGTTTGCACTGTTCCACTTTCTCCAGAACATCAAATTGGTAGAAAGGATTCAACGGATCATCATCCCCAATCTGCTCGTATGCTTTCAGAGCTTCTTCTTCCTCGACTTCCTCCCATTTGCATTGTGCAAACTAGTCTTCTTCATCCTCCTGCTCACCGTCCCAAACACCATTGATTCATAGGAGTTGGTCCTTGTATGATACCAGTCTGCGAGGGTCTCTTCGAACCTCATCCCCCTTCGCATGGCCAACGTCTGAACCATCCATTTCTACCGTATCTACTTTGTCCGCCTCTACCTCCATTGCGCCCGCAATCAGAGGTTCTTCTAGCATCTCCTGATCCATCACTATCTCTCCTTTCACCTTCTTGGAATCTCTATTAGCAGTTATTTCCTCCTCTGTGGTGGGGGATCTTCCCCCTTTAGCCACCATCGAAACGAGCAGAACCCTTGCAGATCTCAAATTTTACTTTTCACGCGCCTCACGCGCTCTCAATTATACTTAGTTGAGGAAATAATTTCGATTGGAATGGACATCAAAAGCAGATAAACTATTGCATATGATTTTTGTAAAGAACCAACTCAACTTAAAAACTTGCTATTAAATGAAGGCTCATCAATGATTTATATATTTCTCGGCATGAAGAATGGATAATGCACAAATTCATCTACATATGCTCTAAAAAATTTCACAAGAGAAAGTGGAGGGTTGAGGATCAAACCCGTGTTGAATTGATTCTTTACAATTTTCTTGAATGACAGGTAAAATTGATTTGTGAGGGAGTTGATGATACATAGGACGTGAACCTGCTATATCAATTTGCTCATGGACTTACACGGGTGAAACTGGTTCTTGGTAGAGCTAAGAGGATGGTTGAGAAGATGAGCTCATTGTTAGGAAATTATATTTTCTAATAATTATTATGAGTCACATATTATATTAATAATTATATTGTGCTATTTATATATATTGGGTAAATTAAAATGATCAGTTAAATATTTCCAAATAGATTCCTAAGTGAGTATGGGCTGAATGAGTGGATACCGGTGTTTGGCCAACTAGGTATAATGGGAGCTTATTGGCCCAACAATAAAGATAAAAACACTATAAAGGGTTATGGTCCCCGAGACGTCAAATGAACAACCCTAGTTTCTCTTCCCCATCAAGAGAGAGACGACACACTAAAGAATAAGGTTTTAGGGTGATTTGACTGAGGAAGACTACAAACCCCAAGAGACAAGATCAAAGTTATTCCGCTGCAATGGAGACATGTATTCCTCCACCTTTATGTTGTTCTTATTTTTCTTTATGATTTGGTATGATGGATCTTGGCTTGTGGGTGATAGTTATCACAATAAAGTTTAGAGGAATTAAAAATTCCAACAATTGGTATCAGAGCCATCATCATATTGAATTATGAGGGAATTAAGTTTTGTGATTTTTATACATGATTAATCATGAAAAGTTTTTGCTTTATTGTCTTTTGGCATAAAGTTTATTATTTTTTGAATGTGGGTTCCATCTTATGTATTTTGTATTAGCTATGTAGTGTTATTTTTGTTCTCTGACAGTGATTTTTTGGTTTTGGAACAAAAGCTATTTTTTTTAGAAAAAACTAGGATTCACAGTTTAATAAGGGTTTATTATTTAAATTTTGAATCTGTGAATAGATGGAATGTTTGGAAGAATTTTGGCTTTATAATCGATGAGGTTTTGTTGTTTGAATTTTTTGAATAAACAATGAATTCTCTTAGAAAATTTTGGACTTACGGTTTGAAAGAAATCAAATGTTTAAGGTCTTTGGTTTTGAGGTTTTCCTTATATTTAATATTCTTTGTTAAAAGCTAAATATAATTTTTTTTTTTGGATATTATGCATCATTTTCAAGCTTTCATTTGAAAAGGCTTACATGTGCGTTGTTTGTGCATCATTTTTTTAAGCCTTATAATGAATAGGTATTTATTGTTAATGGTATAAGGATAAAGTATGTATGTATATACATTGAGGATTGATAAAGAATAATTTTCTTTATTGTTTTTATTTTGGTTTTAAATGGGTTTATTATCCCTAAAGATTTCTATTTGAAATTAAATATGATAGATTTGTTAGCCGCCATAGTGGCCAAATTTATAAAAAGGTTAATTTGATTTCAAATAGGTTGGTCATATAAATATATTTTATTTATGCAAATATTAATCGGCCCACAGGAAGGTTATTGTTTGGCCAAATAACATATGTTGTGTGATCATGTGTGTGTTTATTGCTTATGCGAATAGTGATCGGGCCACAGGAAGGTTATTATTTGGCCAAGTAACAAACATACTTGTGGTAATAAATATGTGACAATTATCAAGAATTCTCCATGTAATTCATAGTCGGCCCACAGGAAGGCTATGATTTGACAGGACTTATTGTCAATGTTTGATTACTACATTAAGAGTACCACTTACAAGTTGATATTTTTGTCCACAGACTTAATATTAATGTTGTGCTAGGTATCTTATAATAAACTCATTTTACTTCGGATTATTTGTCTATATCATGTATGAATATATATGATATGACATGTTATTAGTATGTTATCTTTTTTGGTTCTCTGTATAGTTTCTGCTACCATTGCCAATTATGTTGCTCAAGTGAATTCGCTTCCAATGCTTAATGGGGCAAATTTCAAGCTGTGGAAAGAGAATGTGGAAATTGTTCTCGGCTGCATGGATCTTGACAATGCGCTAAGGACTGAGAAACCCACTTCCACTCAGGAAAATCCAAACACGGATAAAATTGAGAAGTGGGAACGCTCAAATCGCATGTGTTTGATGATCATGAAACGTTCCGTTCCGGAGGCGTTTAGGGGCTCAATTGTTGAGACTACTAATGCCAAGTTGTTTCTTAAGGAACTTGAGCAATACTTTGCTCGAAATGAAAAGGCTGAAATTGGTCAAACCTTGTCCAAACTCATAAACATAAGGTATAAAGGTAAGGGAAACATAAGGGAGTACATTATGGAAATGTCTAATCTTGCTGGAAAACTAAAGGCATTAAAGTTAGAGCTGCCCTTTGAAGGACCTTGCCAGTAGCGATATAGGCTTATTGCATGAAACCAAGAAACTTCTCACTAAAGATTTTGAGATGAAGGACCTTGGTGATGCATCTTTTGTCTTAGGAATACAGATACTTCGAGATCGCACTCAAGGTATCCTACGGTTATCACAAAAGGCCTACATTGAAAAGATTTTGGATAGATTTGGCATGAAGGATTGTACGTCAGGAGATACGCCCATATCTAGGGGAGACAAGTTTAGTCTTGCCCAATGCCCTAAAAGTAAGCTTGAGATGATAGAAATGACAAAGGTACCTTATGCTTCGGCAGTAGGAAGCCTTATGTATGCCCAGGTTTGTACTCGCCCTGATATAACATTTATAGTGGGAGTGTTAGGAAGATACTTGAGCAATCCAGGAATGGATCATTGGAAAACAGCCAAGAGGGTTATGCGGGATTTAAAGAGAACAAAAGATTATATGCTTACATATCAGAGGTCAGATGAATTAGAGATCGTCAGATATACTGACTCTGATTTTGCTGGATGCCAAGATAGTAAAAGATCAACGTCAGGTTATGTCTACATGTTGGCTGGAGGAGCTATTTCTTGGAAGAGTGTAAAACAAACACTCGTAGCTTCCTCTACTATGGCCGCTAAATTTGTAGCTTGTTTTGAGGCATCCAACCATGGGGTATGGCTGCGAAACTTTGTCACAGGGCTGCATATAGTGAGTGGTGTTGAAAGGCCACTGAAGATTTATTGTGACAACAAGTCAGCAATGTTGTACTCCAACAACAATAGAAGCTCTTCAAAATCGAAGCACATCGATATAAAGTTTCTGGTTATTAAAGAAAGAGTTCAGAGTGGTCAGATTTCCATAGAACACATAGGGACGGACTCCATGCTTGCGGATCCGCTTACTAAAGGCTTAGTGCCTAAGGTATTTCACGAGCATACTGTTCATATGGGTGTTGTTTTGTTCGATGACACTACGGTTTAGTGGGAGTTCTTTATGTTAGTGTTCTATGAAGATTAAATTTTCTGCAGAATAAAGAATTCAATGTTATTTTCCCTCTGAATGTATTAAATTTTGTGCTTGTGTTTCTGCTTTGTGTATGCAGAAAATTTAGGATTGATCTCATAAAGATTAAAGTAGGACCAGTTGGAAATAGGCATGGTAAGATCACATTGCATGTAATTTCCATGCCACTCATCCATACTTGATCTATGTCATTGAATATATTGGTGCGATGACCATAGAAGGTTTAGTTACGCTTGAAAGTGACAAAAGCCGCCATGATCTCATATTGATATAGGAGGTGGACCAGATTGTATCTAAGGAGGAATCTAAAGAAAAATAGCATACAGTTGCGCACTAAAGATATATGATATAATTATCTCAAGTTAATATGTGGCCCAAGTGGGAGATTGTTAGGAAATTATATTTTCTAATAATTATTGTGGGTCACATATTATATTAATAACTAGTGAATTACCCGTGCCGATGCACGGGAAAAAAAATTGGTTTGTTTGGCATGGTGGGTCGGCCCTCCGGGCCAAACTCATTTTGTCAGTATTTCAAAGGTCCCAAACAGTCATTTTTTTAAATAACAAAACAGTCATTC